TGCACTCTGTCCCAGGACAGGGTAGCTGTGTCCTCTGTCACAGACTTGGTCACCAGGTTGGTGGGGGCATCGATATCTGAGGAGGGAGTTTCAGTGTTATATCACAATTGTCTGTCAATATAAAGGCTAAATGTCTGTGAAAATTCAAGTCCTTAATTGTTTTAGATCCTATCTGTCTTGGCTACTCAAGTCATTCTTACTACCTGCCAGTGTCTTGTCCAGATGTCCTATTTTGAATTTGAGTAATTCATTTTTAGACTACAGATCTTACAGTATTGTAACGCATACGGCCAACAGGCACTGTGTAAGAGCCGGCTTACCAGAGCGGTGACGTCACCGCCCTTCCCTGTAATAGCAGGACCACAGCCACTGGGCTGTGGAAAGATCTCTCTTTAGCTCACCAGGCTGGGTCCCTGTTGAGTGATGCCAGAGTCCTGGGTTCGAGCCCCCAACGGTGGGGGGCCAACCTGATGCGGCCTGGGCGCCCACCTGAACCCCGTTGCGTTACAGTATTAATATTCTCTAGGGAACACTGCACTTTTGCTTGTAAGGTTTTTGTTTAGTGATGTTTCAGGCATTTGTCAAAATGGACAACATTTAAATCAGTGAATAAACTCATTTAGGATTACACTTTTGATCACCTTTAAGCAAAATTAATCATCACTGCTTTGGAATCAGTCCTGATAGCTAAAAGAACTAAATCATTTATTATCAAAGGGAAAAGACTAGGAGGGGGTTGATTTTATTTTTTTAAATCCCCAAAGAGAAAGGCATTGACAAAGGTAACCCGTATGTTCTATAGAATCAACAGGGAAATGTGAACAAAAGGACACAAATGAAAACTTAGGAGAAGTGTTTTTTAAAGAGAGAACAGGAGGTGCTTCTTTCCACAGAGGATTGTGGAGTCTGGAACTAGGTATCCAGCCTTGATATTAAAACCAACAGCATCCCTTCTTCCAAGAAATACCTACTGTATATCAGATCCTTGGGTGTATCAGCAAGTAAAAGCTTAACGAGTTCATTCAATGGACCAAAGGAAAAATACACATTATCATTGTAACAGATGGAAAAGGAATGACCTGTCACGGACTGCGTGGAGGTCCTCTTGCTCTTGCGGTCTCCCTTGACAGCCCAGATGTAGACAGTGTACTCCACTCCAGGCCTCAGCCCTGTCAGCTTGTAGGAGGT